CCCCCCCTTACTTGCTGCAGGCAGCCCTCCCCGCGTCCCCCTGCCCCAGCTCCCTCTGCCTAAATGACGACGACGACCGGGGCAGCCGAAGATCTGGCCGCCGCGGTCACTGCCGAAGGACCCGAAATGCCGCCCCCCAAATGCTAGTGCCCTAGGCGACCGCCTAGGTCGCCTAATGGGTTGCACCGGCCCTGTGTAGAGGAGAGGGTTGGAGCTTGAGTGCTACTGAAGCTCGAGTTAGTAATGCAGTGGGGACTCAGCTTAAGTTCCTTTTGCTGAGACACACTCCAATCTTTTTCCTGGGTCAGGCAACAAACTTTGCATTTGTAAACAAATGGTGTGATATTGCTGCATTGATGTGTCTTACATATGGTTTCTTGCTAGATGTTGTCAAGGTGGTAAGTAATAAACCTGGCCTCTTTAAAAATGTGAAGAACCGTATTAAATGTTGTCATTCCTTAAACATGTTAAATAAAAATCATGCCTCCTATTTTTGTTTTAATAAAGAAAAAAAGCTAATGCCCTGTAAGGACCTACTAGCCAGGTGCCCTTGATAATGAGCCAACAAAAAAGCTTGTTTATGGCAAAAAGTAAGGTCCTAGTCACTATGTCCAATTTTAGCAAAACTATTTTTTTTAAAAGTATATGCAATGGTATAACTAGAACTTAGCATATGCTTAAAAAATTGAAAGCAGCCTGCTTTCCAATTTTTCTGCTACGTGGTAGTACATTTTGTTATTTTTTCCTGGCGTCATTGCTAACAAGTTTCACACAAAGTATTCAATGCAATAATTTCATGGCTAAATTGTGTTTTAATAATAATGTAGGGGGTTACAGACTGGTGCTGAACCTATTTTAGTCCCTGAACAAGCAAAGCACTGAAGCATGTTAGTCACATTGACTCACAGGCTTAAAAGTTAAGCATATGCTTCAGTGCTTTGCTTGATCAGGGCCTTAACTTTAGGATAACTCTGTTTCTGACAGAATTCCAACACTTGATACTGAGAAACAGCTCATTTGAAAGAGTGCATTTGCATGTTGTTGGTAAAAATATTTTTGTATAGCTCATATGTTTTCATGCCTAAACCTGTAGAATTACCCAGATATAAAACTGATGCACACTTTAGAAGTGTACATAAATAATAAATATGGTATTCTTCCACTTTTCCAGAAAGATGCAACTGTGTGGCGGAAGCCATCAGAAGAATTCAGTGGATACCTGTAAGTTTACCTTCATACTAGATAAGTAAGTTTGTGGGACTTTAAGATGTTAACAGAAGTTGGAAATGGGGGATGTGGAAAAACCCATTCGAGCATCCAGTCCATCGCCTTGTCAGTATAGAGTTAGTCCCTATAATACTTATCTTAGAGTTTAACATTTTAATGCCTGCATCTTGTATATTGTCTATAACAAGACATGTAACTGTCAATGAAGACTCAGTGAAATTCTTGGTCCTTTGATATCAGTGGTAAAACTTCCATTGGCATCAAATGGGGCAAGATTTAATCCTTAGAGTTCTTAGAAAAGTCATCTGCAAGTCAGAGCACTAAGTCCAAACTTGTTGGCCCTTGCATTTGACAGCTCACCTTTCATAATGCTGGTAATCTCATGTACCATGAAACCCCCAATGGGCTAAGAAGCCATCCTATGGTTGGGAAGAGTTGTGTGTATGTGGCAGGTATGGGATCTGGTAACTTGGTGAAAGCTTCCAAGAGCCCACTAAAACAGCTAAACAGTTTCAGATGACTTTTGAATGTGTCGTGGTTTAAACTAAGGTATCTATTTGGTATTCTAATTGGCTACCAAGGCATATTTTGGTTGCTCAGTCTCAGTGGAAAAAACTGACTTACTAGTATTGGAATTACCATTTATTTGTGCTTTATGGAGATTTGACTCCTCCTCACCCCTTTTGTTCTCCCTTTCTGTGTTTCTTCTTTGCCTTCCCCTTCACCTCCGCCCCCCCTTTTACTTTTTCTTGTCCCTCCTCTTTTCCCTAGCTGACTCTCCTGCTCATGGGAGAGGAACAGCAAATTGACAAGCTGTTTCAGAGATGGAGGATGTCAGTTTTGCTCTACCTCTCCATTTACCCATGCAGTGAGAAATACAGTAGTGATGTATTGCAGAAAATGGCCTCTCACTGTGGGTGTCAAAAAGGGACAGCATGAATGGGAGTACATCTTCTTATTGATCTTAAAATAAATTTTAAAAAGCTAAGGAGTCATATCACATGGACTGAGAAGAGGGTTTGCAATTTGAGAAATACAGAATGTAGCTTAAGAACCCTTTTCTCTTAAAATATCAGTTACTGCAAGGGAAAGGACTGGGTGTTGAATACGTCTTTTCCCATATGAACTTGTCTGATAGAATTGTTTTATCTCCAGATAACGTGTGTACAGTAAGTGGAAAGCTTAAAGGATTTCATATTTTAAACAGCTACAAAGCTCAAGGAGTTGTGGAAGACATTACCAACAGAGTAGTAGATCATATTCGTCCTGGACCTTATAGACTAGATTGGGACAGCTTAATGACTACAATGGACATTGTTGAAAAGTTTGAAGAGGTAAAAATTTGTCTTTTATTCTTATAAATAGAACATGTATTTGTGTGGATGTAAATATGTATTCTACAGTGCATCCTAGCAATTGCATCATCTTACGGTGATATTTTGTGATATAGCCTGAGAAATTAATCCATGCACATGTCTATACATTTTATTTTATGGTGTAATCTCACATATATAGAGGAGCATATAGTATACATTTCAGAAGCTTGTTGAATTGGTACAGAATTCCACCATTGCCAAAATTAAGGATCAAAGGGTAAGATTTAGTAGGTTATGCTCTGGCATCTTCCAATAAAAATCCATGTTCTGAGGGAATTAAAACGTCTTATTTTTACTTTGAATGCAATATTTAGAGCTTTATATCTTTTATCCTGTGGGATGTAGCTTTATTTTTTTTTTTTTTTTTTAAAACATTGCAAAACTACCAACTCACCTGTTCCCTGTGGGCTGGCTCCACTATGCCCTCAGGGTTTTGTGCTTGGAACCTGAATAGTGACTGCAGTGGGTCAGGACTTACCAAAAAAGATAGGTTTGAAGTTCATTATGTGCTGACTGTTAGTCTTGTCCTGGTTTTTGGAGACATTCAGTACAGCACTTCAAAGCCTTTGGTTTATACATTGGTCACTTTTTACATCCAATTTTCCTGGCTTTAAGTTAGATCTTTACAGTGAACTATTTTACTTATTGTGTTAAATACATAGAAGATTAGTATCGTTTTTAGAAATTTGTTGTTGAAGATTACTGCATTCTATTTTATTACTAGCTTGGTGAATCAGAAGCACTTTGCAGAGCTGCCTAGTAGTTAGTGAAAAGGACTCCTGGGTTTTATTCACAAAATTTTTGGGTGTCCAATTTTAGACATCTAGAGCTTAACTTAAGCCAAGGACACTCAGCTTCTGTTGTCTTTACTTGCAGTTGCTCAACACTTCCAAGTTTTAGGCACTTAAGGCCTAATGTTGGACACTTTTGAAGATGACTCTTTAATCTGCACCTTACTGTAGCCATCTGTAAAATGGGTAGCTTAGTAGGGAAGGTGGGATATAAGTAAAAGCTTGCATTTTGTTGAAAATGCAAGCTTCATATAAACATTTAAGACTTCTCTTTGGTGATACATGGTTCATTGTTTTGCTATCCTCCTGAAGAATTGCTGTGTAATGTGCTACACCACTGCTGGCCAGCTGTGGAACATCATTTCCCCAAGAGAGTTTGTTGACTTCTCTTACACAACTCCGTATGAAGAGGGGCTTCTAACATGTGGTAAGATGTCATTGACCACTACTTTTTCTTATTTTGCAACAGATTACCATATAGTTAAGTGCACACGCTGTTCTGAACCCCTTTTAAACTGGAACTTTTAAAGGCTTTACAAGATAGTCTACTGAAAGTGTTGCAAATGTACTAGAGTGCTCCTGTATAGCACTTTACATATTCAAAGCCACATACAGGTCTGTTGCATCTTATGCACATTTAACATGCACGATTTCAGCTTTACGCGGTCGGCCAAAAAAAAAAAATCAAAAAAAGAGAAAAATAACAATTTTAATACTGTACCTGTAGTGCGGGTGATTCCACCCACCATTACACTCAATGTAATTTTGACTATACGCGATTTTCGCTTTACGCACTGACTGCGGAACATAACCCAGCGTAAGATGCGACAGACCTGTACAAACATTAGCCAAGCCACACAACATTTCTGCATATTAAGCAAGTATCACCATATTATGCATGTGAAAATTGACAGAGAAACTGTGATATGCCCAAAGCTACACAGTGAATCAGATGGAGTGGAAATAGAACTTGCTTATAAATGGGAGTCAACTCTGGTGTAAAGTTATTGCTTGTCCAGTGAGAGATGGTTTGAATGAAGAATGGGCAACCTCCATGCATTAAAACTACAATCCAAATCTTGGCTACTGATCCAAGCTTCTCTGAGGTGTGCCCGTCACTACTTGTAATATCCATAAGTAGAGACTCTTACCTTGCATTTGCTCTTTCAGACTCTTTATTTATTTCACATCTCTCCTCCACTCTCCCCCACCCCGCCCCGCCTTCCCCCATCCCCTGCAAACAAAAGCTTTCTTTTGGGTCAGTTGGCTAACTATATAGTGGAGCACATTTATTCAAAGGGCTTCTGCCATAGGATTTCAGTGAGATGTGCCCATGGATCCAAGAACAGAACTAGGCCCTGCAACTGTGTACATATGACAAGAAACATGGCTTCGTGATCCAATCTTTTACTGACTTTTGTAACTTTTTTTTTTTAATTAGGAATAAGTCTAGACTATGGAGAGGTGAGACCTAATTTTGTCCGTGGATTTAATCACCCCTGTGGCTGGTTCTGTGTCCCGCTTAAGGATCGTCCTGACCAAAGTCTTTTGACGGGCTTCATCCAGACTGAACTGCGAGGGATGCTTCCTCAGTCTGCAGTAGATACTGCTATGGCTAGTACCCTGGCAAACTTTTACTCTGACCTCAGAAAGGCACTGAAAACATAATCAACTATTGACCTAGATTTCCATACATGTCTTGCAATCATCTGTTCCTCCTTCCTGTATTGTATCAAAGCTTTGATTAGGTTAGCAGGTGCTGCCTAGGGGGTATGCATACATCCCTGGCTTAACATGTGGGTTTGTGTTCCTTGCTGAGCTCTGAAAACGTATAATGTACAGACTGAACATACAAAATCATCTGCTTCCAAGGAACATAGCTCAGAATTGGGGCTCAACCCTGGTAAATATCAAGTTAACTCAACTCTCACTGAAATAAGGGGAGTGGAGGAGTACTCATTACTTTGCATGTTCAGACCAGCTGTGCTGCCAGCATCTTATTGAAAATAGAATTTTATAGTGTATACCTTTTTATTTTTAAGGAGCTCCTTTAAAAGTTTGAGAAAGATATAGTCTGTATGTGCATGTTTCTATTTTTTATACATTTTAGTTTAATCCAAAATGAGATTTTAACAGTCTGTATTAAGTCTCAGAGTGGAATTCCCCAAAGGGATATTAAATTGCATATTATCACTTAAAAATTGAGCTATTATTTGAGAGCTAAAGATTGACATTAGCAAATACCTATGTTATTGGCATTTCCTAAATATTAGTCTTATCTATGACTGGAAGACTTCTTAAATACAGTAGTTACGTCAAGATACTAAATATTTAGTAGGAATGCATTTATAGCTGCTCAGAGCCTATTGAAGTCAACAGGAGTCTTTCCATTGTTTTTATTAGTGATGGATCAGACCCACATTAATCGAAGCACAAAACCCCAAGACATCCATCCATTATCCCTTCGTGCAACTTAGCTTTTAAAAGCAGAAATGTATTTATGTATCTAAACCTGTATCTACTGTAGATTGGGTTTTACTGGTTACTGTTGGAAACCCTAACCCATTTTTTCCCCACAGTTCAATTTAAAAAAAATCACTCAGTAACATTTTTAATTCCCTCCTCAACCCCCTGTATCTTTCTTTTGGATTATATCATAAAATTTGAGGTTAAATATTACATCTGGATATGGAAGGAGCTGATAAAGGCAATGTAACAGCTTACAGCTTTTCCCATGTTAAATGACCAAACATTCTCTGAATTGAAAATTGGGTGTAACTAACCACACTAAAATGCTCTGCAAACATGAATATTTTATCTGTTTAAAAAAAGGAAAAAAAAGTAAATCTCAAGAACCTGGGTAAGCAACAAGCAGAAACCCAAACTCTAGTCTCATTCAAAGCCATATGAAAACTAAGAGCCAAATTTTTAATGGTATTTAGACAGAGGAGGTAGATGCCTTAGGCTCGTCTGACAATTCCGTTGGATACCTAGCTACATCTTTAGGTGCCCTAAATATCTTTAAAAGTTTGGCCCTGAGCATTTAATAATAATTTCTATGCATCTTTCGGAAAACTACATAGTTACCCATGCAACACTACAAATGCTTAATCGGTATGTCATTTGTTTGATTAGGGTTTGCTTTAATTGTGTGATAGATGCAGTGAATACATTCTAATTTTTTATAATTTTCAGGGACAGAAGTATAGCAAGTAGCATACCATAAGTGATGGAGAACTACAGGCAGCTTAATTATCATACAGACAGGAAGCTTAAAGGGATGTGCAGATTAAAGTGGGCCTAATATTTAGATTTTATTGAAACCAAAATTCAGAAACCTATGATCAACAAAAAGTTAATCAAAAACAAAATTTTAATGGAAACAACTTTCCTCTGCAGCATTTACAACCCATTCAGAACACTGAGCTTTGTCTAAGCCAGGGGTGGCCAACCTGAGCCTGAGAAGGAGCCAGAATTTACCAATGTACATTGCCAAAGAGCCACAGTAATAAGTCAGCAGCCACCCCGATCAGCTCCGCCCCCACTCCCAGTGCCTCCCACCCACCGGCAGCCCCGCTGGTCAGCACCTCCCCCTTCTGATCAGCTGTTTTGTGGTGTGCAGGAGGCTCGGAGGGGGAGGAGCGAGGGCATAGTAGGCTCAGGGGAGGGGGCAGGAAGGGGTGGTGTGGGGGCAGGGCCTGTGGCAGATCCAGGGGTTGAGCAGTGAGCACCCCCCGGCACATTGGAAAGTTGGCACCTGTAACTCCAGCCCCGAGTCGGTGCCTATACAAGGAGCCGCATATTAACTTCTAAAGAGCTGCATGTGGCTCCGGAGCCAAAGGTTGGCCACCCCTGGTCTAAACAAATAAATGTTATTTGGGAAAAAAAGGCAAATAGTGAAAACAGATTTTAAAAAATCCTCACTCTGAGGTGTTTAGTGTTGAAAACTTGGTTCCAATTATGTGAGGAGTTTTTTTTAAGTTAACTTCTGTGCCTACCCAGCCAGAGGAGGCAGACTGTGTCAGATCCTCATTGGGTTTGTGTGCATGTGTTCAGCCTGTGATTCCCCACTTGTATATCCTTCTCCTCCACTTCCTCTAGATTCCAGAGTTAGGCCCTTCTTTTGGCTGGGGAACTATAATTTGTGAGGGGGATAGCTTGACCAAGAGAAAGTGGAGCTGGAGGGGGACTTCCCCTTCCCAAACCTGCAGGGATTCCTAGCCTTCATTAATACTGTGAGTCAGCATTAACTTGGGCATTCTTCTCTTTGGGGCCCTGGACCCTCCCATTCCTAGAGGGAGGTGATCCAAGGGCAGAGGCCAGTGTGGAAGACCCTAGCAGCACAGCTCCATTGGAACAGCATGGTTAAGGATTTAAAGGAAGTTCTGTGAGATCTCAAAGATTCTTCCCAAATATAGGAAAATCTGGGTAATTATGTTAACCTCCATGTCCTTTCCAGAGCTGATGCTGCTAGATCATTCAAGGTCTTTTTAATACAAAAATTGTCAGTTTTCTGTCTTTGCCATTCCTTACCTCTCCATGAAGAGTGCACTCTAAACATCTTATTTATGAAGGCACTTCAGTGGTGCAGAACAATTCAAAAGGAGCACCAGAAACCCTGTTGTAGGAAGTTGTTATTTATATGACACTAGGCACTTTACAGACAAGACTACAAGGTTCCTGATCTAACTTCCCTTGTAGTCAGGGGATGTCTTTGTAGAAACTTCAGTGGAATTGTTCTGGTAACTCAAGGAAGATAGGCTGGTGATGCAGAGTAAGCATATTTTGTTAATGTAATTTTTTCAAATAGAAGAAAAAAAAATTGATAGTATTTTAGGTGTAATGTTTAAGTACCATATTCTCTTCAGTTTCCATTCTACCTCCATTTCTCTGTAGAAGTTGCCTTACCACTAGTGAGGTAACTTCTCCCAGTGACACTACTGGGGATCTAAAAAGCTCGGTTCATATCTCCTGTTGAGGTCCATAGGAATTATGTGCTTACCAAGGAAACTAGACTACAAAGCATGTGCACTTTATTGATAGAGGTTCTCAGAGTCATTTCTGGAATTGTATAACATCTGTTAGCCCTTGTTTTGTTGTGCAGTGCACAGACCATGATTTCATGGAGTGATTATAGATTAAGATTCTTAACTGCAGCTCTCTCCAAGCTGCTCTCCACTCTCTCTTTCTAAATAAAGTATCTACCCACACTCCAGAGTCAGTATGAATGCATAGTCTGTCCTTATGACATTCTTGGCACAAAGACCAGCAATTAACAGCACACACTGCTGTAGTGATTTGGCTGTAGGTGCAGCAGGCTTCCTGTAAAAACTGATTCTGTTGCTGAGTAACATGGCAAGCTAATGTGGTTAGAATCATTCAGAGGCTGAGTGAGCCTACCAGGCTGCATTTTATTTATGTTTAAGGGACACAAACTAGTTTTGCACTCTTTAGCACATGCATAGTCTTTCTGCAACTAAAACATAATACTGAACTCTAGGATTGACACTTGTATTGATAGCTATGTATTGTTGCATGGCTTCTAAATTACAAAGAACAATCCTATTACAAAGTGGTGTAGAATTGTGGTAAAAAAAAAAAAAAAAAAAATGGATGTACTTGCTCACAAGTACTAAGTTTTGTTTTCAGACCTCTCCCATTATGTAGGTAGAAGTGGCAAGGAGTGTTAGGGGAACAGCAACATTCCAAAGCCTCTCCATGAGGGTTCCAGGAGCACATTAGTGATTCCAAAAGACTTGGACGTAAACATTGATCAGATCAGTATCACTGTTCCCACAGGGGCATTGCTATCTCTCATAAGTTAGTGTGCAGCCCTACCGAGGGAACCAATGGCAGTACTGCAAATGACCGGCAGTGATATTAGGAGGAAAAGGGTGTCAGCAGAGTCCATAGAGAATCACTTATTTTACAGCTCTGGATGGGGGAAGTCATTTAGTCCCAAATGTTGCCATTCTCACCTACTGGACAAGGCAGCAGAGGCATTGGGTAAAGTTTTGTGGAAGTATTGTGCTGCAAGTAGCCTTATCCCCTAATGTTTTCCATTATGTGGGAGAGGAACTATCTGGTCTTAGAACTTTAACCTCAGGAATAGTTTCAGGAAAACCCCCCCACTATAGACAGCGTTGCCAATGCATGCCTAAATTCAACTGCTGATGGGGAAGGGACCAAGCTTCCTGTTTTGTGATAGTAGCGCAGACATTTTTTTTTTCCTGATAAACACATGGTGAAATGTGTACAGAACTTAGTATGGCTAGTTATTATAATGTCAGTGACCCTGGTTTTAGGTATTTAGTCCATATCCTGGATGGGGAATGACTGAAGATAACAGGCTAAATTTGAAAATTGCCCCAGGCCCCCACTTTACAACTGTATCCGCAAATCTGTACCTGTAATTAATTATCAGTGTTGCAGTTTTGTGAATACTATTTGGACTAAATTTGACGTAGCAGGAGTTCAGGTTGCGCAGCACCACCTGGCTCTCCGCTGGTCATCCAGACAGTTTGACAAAGGACACTTAAAGCCTGCTCCAGAATAGCACTTTTTGACAAGTTTTTGTTCAGTGATGTGTGGTTGCTACACATCACTGAACAAAAGCACTGACCCAGGAACCTATCCTTGTAACAAAGCCCGATGCCAACTCTGTCCACATATCTATTCAAGTGACATCATCATAGGGCCTAATCACATCAGCCATACCATCAGGGGCTCGTTCACCTGCACATCTACCAATGTGATATATGCCATCATGTGCCAGCAATGCCCCTCTGCCATGTACATTGGCCAAACCGGACAGTCTCTATGCAAAAGAATTAATGGACACAAATCTGACATCAGGAATCATAATACTCAAAAACCAGTGGGAGAACACTTTAACCTGTCTGGCCATTCAATGACAGACCTGCGGGTGGCTATCTTACAACAGAAAAACTTCAAAAACAGACTCCAACGAGAGACTGCTGAGCTGGAATTGATATGCAAACTAGACACAATCAACTCAGGATTGAATAAGGACTGGGAATGGCTGAGCCATTACAAACATTGAATCTTTCTCACGCTTGCTTCTTATCAAACTGTCTGTACTGAGCTATCTTGATTATCACTTCAAAAGGTTTTTTTCTCTTACTTAATTGGCCTCTCAGAGTTGGTAAGACAACTCCCA